GGGGAAAGGTCTGTGCTTGTGGCAGAGACCAAGGAACAAACCTGCTGAGCAGGCGCCCTGGGCAGTGGAAGCATTCCTGCTGTTCTGCCTGCAGCCAGCCAGCGGGTCAGAGCTCTTCCCACGCAGGCAGAGCCAGTGCAGCAGCTCCCCAGGCTTTGGGGACAGGAGGTTTGCTCTTCCTTGGAGTGGTTACAGAGAATGACCACAAACCTGCCTGCATAAGAACCTGAAGCCAGACTTGGGGCCACATGTCTTTCACTTTGTTTACAGCTGTGCTGCAGGCTCAGAAAACTCCCTGGGATCCCTCCCAATTGCCCCCCTTCCCAGCCTGACTAGACCTCCTATGTCTTTCTCCACAGAGCCTACCTCTGTCTGAGACAGGTGCCTAACCTGGGACCTGCGCTTGTGTGAGTCTGGGATACTCTTGAGATTACCTGGGCACAAAGAGAATCTTCTTCCATTTATTAAGCAACACAATATTTATCTAGTCGAGTTGTGTCTAGCGGCAAAGTGTTGGACTGGGTGACCTCCAGAAGTCCCTTCAAATCCCAATATTTAGGCACCCCTTTTAATAGCCTACTAAAATCCCCAACCCTCACCTGCCCCTGGGCCTCAGCAGAGCAGAGCTTTTCTACCAGACCTAGAAAGGACAAGAGGTGAGGATAGGACAGGGGTTTTTCAAGTGGCTTCCCTATCTTGAAGCCAAGCGGCCAGTCACCCAAGCCTTATCTGAAAGGACAGCAGCTGATGCCTGGCTTGTGCTCTGGCTTCAGAAAGCCACAGAACAGCATGGTGAGCGTGGATTCCAGTGCTGCTCCCCTGAATCAAGGCTTGGGAGAATCTGGGGTCTAGGCATTCAGGCAGGGCTCTGCCCTCTAGTCAGGCCCAAAGACACCACCACCACTTCCCCAAGCTTCCCACAGATCATATGGTGGGACCATTCAAGAGCCTTATTTCTAACTGCCTGGACCCAGCCTGGCTCCTGGGTACATGGTCCAGCCCAAAGCTGGGAGGGCCAGTCTTATACAGTCTGCTAATCTTGCTCATGAAATAAGAAACAAGTTTCCTTTTGAGGAGATGGGGAATAAGTTCCTTTGGGCAGCTGAAATTTACCAGGAACAACAGGTTCCACAACCGTGCCTTCTCTTTCTAAGCCACTACACTGCTGGGCCCTTCAAGGGTCAGGGCAGGAGGCACAGCCATTGTCTGGTTGCTAATGTCAGCCTTGCAAGTCCAGGTGAAGCAAATGTGAGGAATGGGTCTGGCCAGGCTCTTACAGAGTGCCTTGGACAGTCCTCAGGTGTAGCAGGAACAGATGAGAATTTCTCCTTAAAACTTGGAGAGTACTTTCTCTCTTATTATCTCCTTCGATATTACAAATCCTATTGTTTAGACAAGGCTCAGAGAGGTTAAGTGCTTTGACCAGGATCTCACCCACTGAAGTCATAGGCCTGGGGCTTCATTCAGCCAGTATGACTCCAACACTATTCCATTGCACGTCAGCTTTGTGTTGAATTTGAGGTCCTAAGGGAACCCAAATAAAAATGGTAATATAGACCCCAAATCCTTGTGGGCTCTAGGGAGAGACCCAGAGATGCTCATTTTCACTCCTTGATGGTAATGCCTGTTGTCTTGGCTGCCAGAGGCTCTGTGGCAAACGAGTAGGGCATTTCCTTGGGAAATAGCCATCAGACTTAGAGCTTTCGTGTTCAGAATAACTGTCTTGGCACCAGGTCCAAGCAGCAGGTCTCCAGTACCCACAGAACTTAAACCCCTTATGTTCTTTCACTCACCCCATGAACCAAGCAACCATTACGTATGGAGCCCCTACTGCAAGTGAGGTCCTCCTTTGGTTACCCTACAGACGGGCTGCAGGAGCTGGCCACTCCCCATAGCTAAGTGACTCCTTATCTCTTTCTACCAAACCACAGAGGACTTTGTACTGCCAGGATCTCCCAGAGATGGAGGAAGAGTGAGGACTGGTTCTATAGCCAAAAAGCTGTGAGGAGAGGAAAGGAAAGGTTTCCTAATTGTGGTCCTAAAGGACATTCTGACATCTATCCTATTCTCCAGGTTACAGGGGAGACAGGATTCACACAAATCCTTGATTCATTAGGAACTGTCAAATGGAACCCGAGACGGAGCGGGTGAGGAGGGAAGCAATTGAGAGCCTTGCTGCAGTGAAGTTATTGACAAAGTAGTGAAGCAATTTATTAATAATAGAATGTGGACATAGATTATAGATTAAGCATTTGAATTTTTGCTGACATGAGTTTACCAGAAGGCCAAGTCTTGCATGGAGAATAGGACAAGGACATTTGTGAGCAGGCAGATAACAGAGGTTTGAAGGAGGATTGCATGGCAGGAGCCTCAGCCAGCTGCTTGGGCTTCAGCAGCCAAAGTTGGCACAAAAATCAGCTGTCGGGACTGCTCAGTTACCGTTCCCTGGAAAATGTAGTCTTTGCCTTATTTCCCCTTCATCCATCCTGAAACCAAATTTCTTTTGCTGAGCAAGAAAGGACTAGAAACCCTGGAGGTGAAAAAGATTTTGATCCAAATGTGAGTATGTGCGTTTTATGTAACTTCTGGTGGGTGCAAATAAATTCAGAGAAATTTAGTGCTAGAAAGGACCGTAGAGGGAATCTAGCCCACCTACATTCTGCCCCGTGTTACTCATGTGGAGACTGAGGCCCAGAGAGAGAAGGTGGCCTGCCCAAGATGAATGAGCCATGACTCACAGACTCAGCAGAGTGAGGGAGTGGAGCAGTCCCTGTCCCACACAGCCCCCTTCTTTCTTTCACTCCCAGACTCAAGGCTAAAAGTGAAAGCCCCCTTCGGTAGCCCCGCTAGGTAGGGAGAGAGCAGCTGCAGCCTTCATCAGAACTCTTGTCCCCTTAAGGCCTTCTCCCAGCTCCTGCCTCTGGACTGGCCTAATACCTGGAAGTCCTGAGGCCACCCTGGCACTGCCTCCAGCCTGCTCCTGCCTGGAGTCTCCCCTAGGCAATGTGAGTACAAAGAAGGAACTAGATTTTTTCTTTTAATCTGTGTCAGGGCTCACTCCAAGGGGAGTCGGGGTGTGTCATTTCTTTATTAAAAAAGCTTCCAGCTGGGGCGTAGGTGTGGACTTTGTTGGCCAGGAGCAGGCCCAGTGCTGCTTTGGGGGTCAGCATCCAGTGTGAAATACTGTGTATATAAACTATACATAATGTATATAAACTGGGATGTAAGTTTGTATAAATTAATGGTTTATTCTTTGCAAATAAAGCTTTTTCCCCTCTGTTTTTGAAATTGGCTTGAGCAATTCCTACACACTAGATGCTTTTATGCAGGTGCTGCCAATGAGCTAGAAGAAAGCCCAAGGCATCCATTCCAGAGGGGGGGCAGCAGAAGGAATGTAGTCTGAACTTCCTGGCAGGTACCTCACCTTCTCTCTGCCCCAGACCACATGCCTGTCCCCTTTACCTTAGGTCTTTGCACTGTGTACAGTCATCACATGAGGCATGCACCCAGGGCAGAGGCAGCAGGTCACACTATACAGGATGTCCTAGACCAAACTGACAGGTCGATGCGGATAAATCATTAGGACCAAATGGCATCCACCCAAGAGGAATGGAACAGCAGGTTGTGGGCCAAATTGTGTAGCCTGCCATTGCCAACAGTTATTGGGCCAAGAGTCTGAGAGCCTCGCCATCCAGGAGGAGAGCTTTATGGTGGCCGGAAGCCAGGCACTCACTTCCATCTGAAGCAAGATGGCTGACTTGGACAAAGGGCAGAGTGAGAGAACCAGGCAAGGTTAAGCAAGTTGCCGGGGGGGTGTGGGGGAGAGAAGACAGGAAATTAAACCAGCCTGACCCTTCTATTATAGCATTATGAGGTGGAAACTGAGTGTGGACCAGGGCTGGTAGAGGGTATCGGTTGCTTAAATTTTCAAAGGACTGCTGACAAGATCTTCCACTGTACACTTTCTTTTAAACATTGAGATGCCAGCTTTAGGGCATTTTTGCTCAAGGATGGGAAATGGGAAAAATGGTTGCAGGAGAATCACTTTGTGTAGCTCCAAATTTACAAAGTTCAATCACATTCAATATTATTTGATCTTCCCAACAGCCTTTGAGGTAAGCACATGAGGGATCATTAATCCCATTTTACAGATGAGGAAACTGAGGCTCAGAGGTGATTAATTGCTCTGACTCACATGGCTTGAAGGTGGTAGAGCTTGCACTCAAAGCCCACTGGATCCCAAAGTACCCAGTCCTGCAGGAGTCTCAATAACAGGAGATGGGGCTGCTTGAGAGCTACAGATAGAAAGGTGTCCAGGTATCCTGGGCCCTCAAACATACTAGTTAGAGCACAAGCAGTATCAGAAGGCTGGATTTTTATTCTGTCCATTGTTTTCCTCAATGCTGACAAATGGGCACCTAAAGGGCACCTCTCCCCAGGGCCTTGCCTGCCTCTTGAGACCATCTCCCTTATAGCCCCAAGGAAAACACAGAAGCACTGGAAGGAGGAGAGAGATGAAAGGGGAATTGGGGTTTAGAAAACAACCAAATGGACAGCCCCTCCTCACAATG